TCATGTTATGTTATGTTGTCTAGTGTGTTCTTCTATCTTTCTACTTCTTTCTATGAATGCCGTTCACAATACTTTCTGTTACTTGATTAATTCATAATATTTAACGCCTCAAATGGTTCCGCCTCTGTTTATTTATAGGAATGACGTATACACACCGGAACCTACTAATCAAATACCTTTCTTAAATGTTTGTGTATTCTAGACAAAGCATAAGGTCTACTGTGTTCGTAAATTGTTGCTGTGGTTGTTATTCGACATTTGCTTCGTTAATATAAATTTATGTAACCTATTGTGCCATTTCAATGGGTTGAAATGAATTCTGTCCGTATTCCATAGTCGTGGATTTCAATCTGTACGATAGTCATGGCCAATAAGACACCTTTTTTGGTGGGTGCCTAGTTGACCATGTATCTTAGTGCACTTACACGGTAACTATAGCTTTCGATGATGTCTAGTGTGTTCTTCTATCTTTCTATTTCTTTCTATGAGTGCCGTTCACAATACTTTCTGTTACTTGATTAATTCATAATATTTTCATGTTGAATACATTCTAGTGGTTGTCTAGTGTGTTCTTCTATCTTTCTACTTCTTTCTATGAGTGCCGTTCACAATACTTTCTGTTACTTGATTAATTCATAATATTTTCATGTTGAATACATTCTAGTGGTTGTCTAGTGCAGAGTTTCCCAAACTTTTTTTTTTTTTTGCGGCGCATTTTTTCAATTAAACTTATTCCACGGCGCCTTAATCTAAGTAAAAATACCGTACTTCTGGGAGTAATGTGGCTTTTCTGCCTGCCCCCGGGAGTAAACCCGGACCACAAGGAGTTGGTCACCCGCTCACCACGCAATCCCGTTTAGCCAACTACGCTAGAGAGACGGGCTTTCAATAGGATAAATGCCAGCATATAGAAAATAGACGTTCAATATAATATAACTCAAAATAATGTTATTAAACGAAATATTTAATTTTTCCGCAAACAATTGAATAAAGTTCAATCCCATCAGGAATGCACATCGAGCGATAAACACTTGGTGACTCAAAGTGCCACCATTCAGATGAGGATCACTCGTATGCAAGTCCAGTAACCCCGCTTAACCGTTAGGTTATATTAGTGCCCCCCGACAACAGCCGGGGGGGGGGGGGGTTAGAAGCACGAAAAATTGCGTCTGATATTTGGACGGCAACAGATAATAGTAAATAAGTGAATATACCCCACCAGGACATCACACAAGCGATAAACACCTGGTGAAAGAAAGTGCCACCATGCGGATGAGGAGCATCTGTAGAGAGTTCCCTGAAACCCCATTCAACCGTTAGGCCATATTTATGGCCTGGCTTTTTTTCAGGGCCCCCCGCAAAAGCTAGGGTCATCATCATCATCATCATCCCGCAACACTACGTGTCGTTGGGTCACCAGTTTCTGTTGACTGTCTGATCAGCTCTCTCCACCTTTGGCGGTCAGTTGCGATGGACTTCATGGTTGCATGCCTCTGAGGCCTGTCCAGTCAGTCAGGTTCTGTAACCAGGTCTTTCTTGGGCTGCCTCTTCTCCTCTTTTCTCTGAGCCCTGCAGTATTGTTTTTGAGAGGTCGTTAGATCTTATTACACGTCCATACCATTTTTCTACTTCTCACTGAAGTCAAACGAGGTTCAGAGTTGTTAATGTCCTGTATAATTTTAGGGCGAACTTCCTCGTTTGTAATGTGTATGATATGCCAAGAATTTTTCTGAAACATTGCATTTCTAATGAATGTATCTTCCTTTCAAGTTCAGCTGTTAAAGTCCACGTTTCACAGCCATATGTAAATGTACTAATAGCTAGTGCTCTGAGCCATTGTATCTTAGTTTTGCATGAAATGTTTTTAGACTTCCGAAGTGTTTGCTGCTTGGCAAGGACTGATGTTGTCTGGGCAATCCTAGACATAATTTCTGGTCTCGACCCCAAGTCACTTAAAATGGATCCTAAATATTTAAAATGAGTCACTTGTTCCAATTTGTGACCTTAAGATTAGTGAAATTCTGCCAGCTTGATTATTAGTTATTACTTTTGTTGTTTTCTGCGTTTATTTCTATGCCATACCAGGTTGATGTTTCATCGAGTAGTTTTACAAGGTCGACTAGTTTCTGTTCTTCTCCGGGCAACCCATCAATGACATCTGCAAATCTTAAGTTTGTTATAGTTTGAGCTCCTATACAAACTGTTCCATGATGTTGTTCTAGGGCATCAGTCATTATTCTTTCTAAAAATATAAACAATGTTGGAGAGAGTCGGCAGCTCTGACGGACTTCTACTGTTGTTCGGAACCTGCTTCCGATTTGTCCGTTCAGCGTGACAGCACTACTGGCCTTGGCAAGGTCAGCTAGGGTGGGGCTTCAAATAACCAAAAATTGCATCCAGCATGGAGACGACTATACTTCTAACAGATAATAGAAATATATGTGCAGGACGCAACGAATATACGTTCTTTTTTCTTCTTCTTCCGGCTTTTTAAAATTTGCATATCTCACCACAGTCGCACGACCCCAACAAAGAACGATTGCGTTCCCTATTTGGGGTTGCGATCCATGCTGCCAACCGCCTGCAGCTGGGATAGAACCCGGTATCCCAGAATTATGATGTGAGTGTGCGACATCAAAGAAGATTGGCTAATAAATAGCATTTTGTCGCAGAAGCTTACATATTTTGGTGATATCAAACGCCATGGCTGATTGGACAAACTAATAGCAGAAGCATGGTACCAGGAAGGAGGGGCAGTGGCCGACCGACACGAAGATAGGCACAGGATATAAGTGACTCCTTGAGTATGAAAGTACATGAGGCAGGAGAACTGGTGAGAGACCAAGTTTCTTTCAGGTAGACCATGATGAGAGCGACGTTCAGCAAAGGCCCTGCTACATGATGATGATGATGATGATGCTGATGCTGATGATGATGATGATGATGATGATAGACGACCAAAACAAGCCTGGAGAAGGACAGAGGGAAATGAAGGAAAAAACATGACTTGGAATACTACAGACAGAAAAGCAGCAGACTATCAATGGAGATAAAAAAAAGAGTGTATTAATAAATGGACTGCGGGAAACAGGTGTTTTTTTTAATATCTCAGTACATGTCGAATTCGGTAGGCAGGCAAAGCAATTTTTTGAGGCCTTAGAGATGTGGTTTTACAGAAGAATGCTTAGAATTTCTTTGACAGCCGAAAAGAGCAACAAAGAGATTTTGAAAGAGGCGGGAGCCCGAAGACAACTTGTCACAGACATCAGAAGGAGACAGTCATCATTTTTCGGCCATGTTATGAGAAGAGGGAAAATAGAACATGTTGTGACCACTGGAAATATCTGTGGAAGAAGGGATAGAAGAAGACAACGAGAGAAGATGCTTGACAGTCTTGTTGCATGGCAGGAGGTGTGTCGGCACATGAACTGATACATGCTGCAGGAGATCGCAGATTATGGAGAGGCATGATCGCCCACGCCAGTTGGCAAGGCACCTGATGATGATGACATGTCAAATTGTTCCCATAGTTACTATCATTAGACTGTGAAACGTTGGACATTGCTACTCTAGATAACGACATGACGAACTTTAGTTGGCACTTCTCTATCTCCTGTCCATGTTCCTTTCCAGAAATTTCCGGTAGAGAAAAAAAAAACGCATCTGGGGAAAAATTATATCCTTTATTTGCATCTTATAGCTGTGAGCCGTGTACTCTTGCTCAATTACTTTGGGGGGGGGGGGGGTCGCTGCTTTTAAATTGAAATGCTACAGAACAAATTCTTAGAACACCGTGGGACAAGAAGAAGAAGAAAAACGCTGGCATCCTACACGATCTGAGCATCGAGGAGAATTGGCTCATAAACAGCATCCTGTCCCGAAAGTTTAGGTATTGTGGCCATGTTAAACGTCAAGGTGGCCTGAAGAGAGCGCCAGTAGAGTTGACAGTTTCTGGAAAACGAAATAGAGGCAGACGTCGGTGAAGGTGAATACAAGACATCGAAGATGCCTTGGGTAAAGAAGCACCTATTGCTTGATAATGTAATAGATAAAGACTTTTATTTAGTTCTAAGTTAGTCTACCCAAACAAAGTAGGTCACGTTCCACTGACATATATGCTGGGCTGGATTACTTTTCTGCAGGTTACGGGTGTGCCGCTTTGTTGTTTACTTTCTGGATTGTCTTTCATTTACGTTTCTATTCCTAGAAATAGAATGCCTGTGACTTAGGTTTCATTACTCTCTAGCAGGGTTTGTGTTAGACCCAGTTTGTCAATGTTTTGTGGGTTTTAAAAGCGCTGGCATGCTGAAATTTACAACACGCCAAATCAACGGCATTGCGGAACACCCTAGTAACTTTGTGCCAAGTACACGTGGTGAAGGTGAATACAAGACATCGAAGATGCCTTGGGTATAAAAGCACCTATTGCTTGATAATGTAATAGATAAAGACTTTTATTTAGTTCTAAGTTAGTCTACCCAAACAAAGTAGGTCACGTTCCACTGACATATATGCTGGGCTGGATTACTTTTCTGCAGGTTACGGGTGTGCGGCTTTGTTGTTTACTTTCTGGATTGTCTTTCATTTACGTTTCTATTCCTAGAAATAGAATGCCTGTGACTTAGGTTTCATTACTCTCTAGCAGGGTTTGTGTTAGACCCAGTTTGTCAATGTTTTGTGGGTTTTAAAAGCGCTGGCATGCTGAAATTTACAACACGCCAAATCAACGGCATTGCGGAACACCCTAGTAACTTTGTGCCAAGTACACGTGGCTCGAAGTCAACCAATCAGATGTGAACTAGGCTGAACGTCGACCAATCAGAGGCGAGCTAGTGTGTAGGAGTGTGTAAATGGGAAAAGCAACGTCGAACCAACCAGACTTTAAAGCATACAATGAATGTGAGTGAAGTTCTGTAAAGGACATGCTGATTTATGTTGGTTATGATCCCCCATGTCTCAAGCAACAACAACATTTCTTTACCACACATACGGGGCACGTTTTAAATGGCTAGTCTAGTAAAAGACGGCGCGTAGATTTCCCGGATTGTGTCATCCATTAACCTGTCCACAAAGTTATCCACGGTGACCATAAACAGGGGAATAATAGCGATTCCCACCATTACAGGCAGCCACTTGCGAATTGTCTGGCATTCCGTGCACAAGATCTCCAGAAGGATGTCTGTCATCCTATGGAAAACACAACAGGCTTGATTATAATATCATGAAAACAAATCACACTAAACAAAAAAGTGTCAGCTTCACACTATCACATACGACACGTGAGCGCTGCAGCAAGAAAGCCTTCATCCACGCACGCCATAAATACAATGATGCCTATACAAAACAGAATACACAAAATCACTTAACTGAGGTCTCGCCCAAAAAAAATCGACATGCATGTCTGACTAGCTGAAGCTACGATGCACGTGTGAATACAATGAACGAAGGAACAAATTCTATTTCTAAAGTGAGAACTTGGCACACAAGTTCGTCTATTACATTTTGTCCTTCTAGCCTCAGTCCGTACACACATTATTCCATGCATACATCACCTTAGCAGATAATGGTAATAAACATCATCAACAAGATCAAAGTCTTAGTTATAAACGCTGGAATGAATTCTAAGTATAGGTTAGTTGCGCATCCTTTACAGGACGTTGCAGAACCAACCCCAACAGCGCCTAGCTGTTGTTTAGTTTTTCTAGGCAAATTTACGTCCAGTAGTTTGCCATAGCTCTCTGGACTGTCGGCTTTCTTGATACCACTGTCGAAACCAACGCAAGGCGCATGACCCGCAGCTGGGATTGAACCCGGCATCCCGGCATTACGAAGCGTTCGCATCGACTTAGCCACAGAGCCGACATTATAGTTATACCAACATTTAAAAACAATAAAGGGAAATCAACAATGAACGAATACTAGCCGGGAATAGATGTACAATTATGGGCCGTAAAGACTGTGTCTGTTGAACGTAAGGTCTCATTTAAGCGAGTTGGACCTCAAATGGATAAGGCTGTTCTTGTGAGCCAAACCTAATTTACAATAAACTGCACTGTGTAAGTCAACCTGTCTTACAAGATTATCTCAAAATGTTTAGCTCAACATTCCGAGTTAGGCCTTAACCAACCCTTTAGTACGACCCTTAGACAGACGCTTGGCTGTCAATGACGCAAAACTTAGGCATACCGGTAATGAAGTTAGGTTAGTGTACGCTAACCTGTATCACAGTACTTAACGCTATAGTGAGTCATTAACCACAATATAACACCGTATTTGAATTTTTTTGTAATGCAGATAGAAACCTCAAAAGTTTGATGAAATTACAGTTATCATGCCGTTCTCCTATTATCTACAAATATTGGTGTTAAAGATGTTAAGAGTGTTAAGCATGGGACACCGCGGTGCACATGAATACGGCGACGTCATAATGACATTTAAAGATGGCTGCCTCACTTTTAGCATGCACCAAAAACGAGCAGCGACCTGTTATCGTTTTTTTTTTTTAATTAGTGAAGGGGTAAAACATATATAAATTTATCAGTGAATTATGGTCCAGTATGGTGATTCATAGACTATCAAAAGGCTTTGTTTCTTTCGTAATATCCTACTCCATTTGACGTCACAGGACAGTCCAACAGTTTAAAGGGTGGCAAGACTGGATTTCCTGGCTTTCTGATGCTTTTAACGACCCCAACATATGTGGAACTGGCCTTAACCCACCTACGTCCTAGTGCAACCTAGATCCCACGACTTCTTGCAGCTTAGGTCCCACGACAGCATGCAGCCTATCTACCACCCCGTGAAATATTAGACTGTCCCATGACCTCTGGATTTCCCTTGTTTGGGGTAGGATATTAAGAAAGCACCAAGGATTTTTACAGCATTAATAAGGAATCTCTCTGGAAAATAATGGGGAACTATAGAATCACACCGAAAATTATCAACTTAGTAAAGGCAACACATAAAGACACGAAATGCCGAGTTCTTGGTGAGGAAAAGCTAACAGATACATTTGAAATAAAAACAGGTGTTCGACAGGAATGTCCTTTTTCGCCTCTCCGATTTTTACTTGCAGTAGATTGGATTATGAAGACAGCAACTGCTAACACCAAGAATATAATTCAGTGGACAATTACAGAACAGCATGACTTCGCTGATGATATTTCTAGTCTGTCTCGTTCACGGAATCAGATGCAAGATTAAATAAACATACTTGATGAGAGATCACAGCAGCTTGGTCTGAAAATCCATAAAGGAAAGACAAAGATAATGAGAATAAATCAGGCAAATAGTAATGTGGTTTCTCTTAATGGCACCCCACTCCAAGACATGGATTCGTACATCTACTTGGGCAGTAATGTAGATAAAAGGGATGATGTTGGGGGGGGGGGGATTAGGTGGGGGGGGGGGACTGATTATTAAAATAAGAATACAAAAGGCAAAGAGAGCTTTCATGATAAGAAGTGAATTTGTAGAGGTCAAAAGAAATTAAAATTATTACTACGCTTCAAATGTTTAATTCTAATGTCAAATCAGTACTTTTGTATGGAACTGAAACATGGAGAACAACTAAGGCAAGTACTAATGATTTACACTCATTCATTAACTGGTGCCTGCGCAGAATAAGGGGAATTAAATGGGACGATAGAATCCCTAATGTAGAGCTTTGGGAGAGAGCTAAACAAGTTCGAGTGAACCAAGAAGTGAAGAATAGGACACACCTTGAGAAAACCTGAGGACTAAATAACTAGAATTTCTTTGCAGTGGAATCCACAGGGGCGTAGAAATAAAGGAATATACTTAAAGCTAAGCCTAACGGGTATCTTGTATTTGAGGAAGATGAGGGAGACATAATGAAGGATTATTATAGAAATCTATTCCTTGAACCTATCTCGACTCCAAACATACAAGAGCTCCAACGATGTCGTGGCTAGTGGAAGCAAACCATTGCTTAAGCTGCCTTAGAAACCAAAAAAAAAAAAACAACAACAACAACAGAGTTTATTAGGCGGAGTAAGATAAAAAATAACTTACCCTGACAGAATATGTTTTGTATACAGTCTAGAGAGCAGTAACAGGTAAAACTAGACACACCAACTAAAAGTCCTAATCCGAATCAAGCTGGAACTATAATTATCACTTTCGACATCTGTTTGTTTTACTTAACATAAAATCAGCGTGGTTCACAAATAACAGGATCACCCGTGGAGAGGTCCTAGAAACCCTTTTAAGCCGTTAGGCCATATATTTATGGCCCGCCTATATTCAGGGCCCCGGCAAAAGCCAGGATATGGCTTCAAGAAACGAACAATTGCATCCAACTTGGGGACGACAATAATTGTATTGTGGCGCTGTTTTATGAAATCACCTGTTTATTTACCATAACAACGGCACCCACCTGACGGCACAGTAAGTCAGGAACGTCGGGATGGTAACGGATGCTAGGGCTTCCCAAACAAACGTGTCGCAGAAGGCTATCAGCATGTCAGTGGGTCGGTTTTGTTTGGACCTGCGTCCCCATCCATCTGACTCCTGTGAGCAATGTATTTATTGAGTGTTTTAATAAACGTCGATTTGACGAAATGTCTATGTGACAAAATGTCTATGTGACGATATGTCTATGTGACGAAATGTCTATGTAATGAAATGTCTATGTGACGAAATGTCTATGTGACGAAATGTCTATGTGACGAAATGTCTATGTGACGAAACGTCTATGTGACGATATGTCTATGTGACGAAATGTCTATGTAATGAAATGTCTATGTGACGAAATGTCTATGTGACGAAATGTCTATGTGACGAAACGTCTATGTGACGAAGCAACAGCAATACATTAATGAATAAATAATTTTTTCTTTCAACTGTCATTAGTGCGTGTATTTATTACTTTCAGGGCAGTGTATGACAGGCAAGGAACAAATAGTTTGCACAAGTTAAATCCTAACATGAAGAGTCAATCGTGACAGCACTGAGGCCTGCAGCACTAGGCCCTGAGGCCCGAAATCCTCAAGGTGAAAGACCTCCCGGCTAACACCGCAAAAAAAGTGCTAAATACAGACGGTAATGGCAGTTGGGGGAGGGGGAGGAGGGGGAGAACAAGGAGTCGTGAACCTGAGAGCTTAAAGCCACATGGTTAGTGCAGCTGCTACTAACTGTCTAGGTTAGGATTTCTACTTTTATAAAGGCGTAAATATTTACCACAAACTATCTATTATAGTAGTGCTAAACAATAGTGCCTTTTAAAAAAAAGTGTCGGTGCGCACACACACACACAAACAAAAAGCCCTGGATGTTACAGAAACACTCTTAGAGTACTACTGATGCAGGAGAACAAAATTGGTTTCGAAAAGCCAAGTGCCCACGAAAAATCCAGCCAGCATTGGGCTTGACGTGTGTCGTCTGAGGGAGTATACTGCATGGGGTGGGAATGAGCAGGTGAGGAAGATGACTGTGATGAGGATGAGAAGGAGGAGGAGGGGGGAGAAGGGGGAGGAGGAGGAAGAGGAGTAGAAGAAAGAATAAAAGAGGAAGAAGAAGAAGAAGAAGAAGAAGAAGAAGAAGAAGAAGAAGAAGAAGAAGAAGAAGAAGAAGAAGAAGAAGAAGAAGAAGAAGAAGAAGAAGAAGAAGAAGAAGAAGAAGAAGAAGAAGAAGAAGAAGAAGAAGAAGAAGAAGAAGAAGAAGAAGAAGAAGAGAAGAAGAAGAAGAAGAAGAAGAAGAAGAAGAAGAAGAAGAAGAAAAAGAAGAAGAAGAAGAAGAAGAAGAAGAAGAAGAAGAAGAAGAAGAAGAAGAAGAAGAAGAAGAAGAAGAAGAAGAAGAAGAAGAAGAAGAAGAAGAAGAAGAAGAAGAAGAAGAAGAAGAAGAAGAAGAAGAAAAGAAGAAGAAGGAAAAACAAGTAAGGAAAAGAAAGAAGAAGAAAGACAAAGAAGGAAGAACAACAACAAAACCAAGAAGAGCAGGAAACACAACACAAAACGAGAGGTTTACCTCTGCCACAGCCAGCATGCGGTCCAGGCAATGACAAATGATAAACCCTCCGGCCAGCATACAAAACGGGTTGCTTTCCTGGTCATTGTTGACCCGGGACCGGAGAGCTTCTGCAACCGCGTAGCCGTATCCTGGAAGTAGGTAAGAGGGGGGAGTTGGGGGGGGGGGGACGCTCTTGTCAGGAGACTGACTATAATCATAATGGCAGTTGTGGGAATCACTATGAACTTTTTGGTCATCACGGGAATCCAGTACTAGTTGTCGTTATTGAAGGAATCTCGCGGTGATTTCTTGTTATCAAAGGAATCCCGTAATGATGGCAGCTGTTAAAGGAATCCCGCAATGATGACAGTTGATAAAGGAATCCCGTTATGATGGTATTTGTTAAAGGAATACGTAATGATCGTAATTGTTTAAGGAATCCCGTAATGATGGTAATTGTTTAAGGAATCCCGTAATGATGGTAATTGTTTAAGGAATCCCGTAATGATGGTAATTGTTTAAGGAATCCCGTAATTTTTGTAATTGTTAAAGGAATCCCGTAATAATGGTAATTATGAAAGAAATTCCGTAATGATGGTAATTGTAAAAGAAATCCCGTAGTTATGGTAATTGTTAAAGGAATCCGTTAATTGTGGCAGCTGGTAAAGAAATCCCGCAATTGTGGCAGCTGTAAAGAAATCCCGTAATTGTGGCAGCTTGTAAAGAAATCCCGTAATTTTTGCAGCTGGTAAAGAAATCCCGTAATTTTTGCAGCTGGTAAAGAAATCCCGTAATTTTGGCAGCTGGTAAAGAAATTCCGTAATTTTGGCAGCTGGTAAAGAAATCCCGTAATTTTGGCAGGAAATTTCGGGAAAAAATCACCACATCAAGTTGACTTTTGAGATGATGGTGGTTAAAAAAAAATGCAAAAATTTTGTTAGATTTTTCCTCATGCTTGCTTTCTGTTTCCATAAAAATGCCTTAGAAGATCAACTAAGGATGGAGCTCGAAGAAAAGCTGTGTACTCTCTCTGATGAAGTTTGGTCTAAAAGAAAGCGGTTTCATGTTTGTGCCAGGACACTCAGGGGGTTACAGGGAATGAGCGGAATGACTTGCTGACAGGGACACGGTACATCACAGCAAGGTGACCAGCTCAGTGATTTTGTGTATCTGTGTAGTATTGTTTAATTTGTATGTGCTGATAAAGGCTCAATAGCCGCAACGTTCACGTTTTGTTTGTATTCGTTAAATTGTGAAGCTTACCAATATACTTTTTGTTCGGGTTTATATCTTTTCCTGATATCACAGAGAAAGCAATGGACCGGGGCGATGTTCTCAATGCGGTAGGATACGGAGATGATTCATTAGAAAAGGGTAAATCTGCAATCTTTACAAGACTGCGAGAACTTTATGTCAAAAGAGCTATTGCCAGATATGAACACTATTACAAACAGTCAAAGAAGGATAGTAAACCAACTTAGAACTGGTGTTATCAGTCGCCACACGCTGAAGGAGATGCTAAAGAAGGGATTAGAATGCTCATGGGTGTGTCATATTTGCGATGGTCTGGTAGTCTGGTAGTCTGGTAGTCTTAGTTTAGCTTCATAGCAAACGGGTCACCCCATCTTTGCTCCGCTCCTGTGCCAACGAAAAACACACAGAATGTTTATCACAGTATTAGAATTGCACTTCATCATTGATGGTAGCAGAAGTCGCCAACAGATTTGCGATGGTGATGACTGGGTAATTAACTAACTCACTCACAAAAATCTCACCTAACAATCTCAAAGGAACCTTCCTGAACGTGTCACTCTTGCTGTAAAATATTTGTCCCACAAGTTCTGTTTTGATTCTCCTGAAGAGGCTGCCTGCTGTGTTATGGCCTATTCTTGAAATGTCTACCACATCTATTTCTAGAAAGTTCGGCTTGTTTATCGGTATTTTATCAATCATTTTTTTTTTAAATGAAGTGTTTAAAGAATCGGATACAGGGTCGTTTTATTTTTATAATTTTTTTTTAATCCAAGAACAAAAATATCAGATAATTACAGTTTAGACGGTAACTATTAGAATGCAATGTTTTCAAATATATGAACGTTACATTTTAAACCACTTTAGCATTGGTGCTTTCAGGTGCGGGTGTGCAAAAAGAAAAGGAAAAAATAAGAATGTAGCAATTAGTCACAATTATCATAATTTTGGGCATATGGATAACATCAGATGGAAGATGCATAACTGAGATCAGAAACAGAAAAGGACAGGCAAAAACTGAATTTTATAAAATGAAGAATATCTTGTGCAATTTATCCTTGTTATTGAGAGTTAAAAAAAAGAATTCCTGCTTGCTACATACATCCAGATTTAACATATGGCTGTGAATCCTAGACAATCGGTGGGCAGGTTAAACAATTTCTTGAGGCCTCAGGTATGTGGTTTTACAGAAGAATGCTTACAATACCTTGGACAGCCAAAAAGAACAACCAAAAGGTTTTGAAAGAGGCGAGAGCCCGACGACAACTTATCACAGACATCAGAAGGAGACAGTCATCATTTTTCCGCCATGTTATGAGAAGAGGGAAAATAGAACATGATGTGACCACTGGAAAGATCTGCGGAAGGAGGGATAGAGGAAGACAACGAGAGAAGATTCTTGAGTCTTGTTTCAAGGCATGGAGGTGTGTCGGTGAACGAACTGATACATCCTGCAGGAGATTGTGGATTATGGAGAGGCATGATCGCCCACACCAGTCAGCAAGGCACCTGATGATAATGATGATCCTAATTTTCTATTGTTGCCGATAAGCAGTGTGGTAGGAAAGGAGGACTCGGGGGAGGAGGCCGTGGATGGGGGTGAGGGTGTGGGACGTTAGTGGGGACGGGGGGTGGGGTGGGGGTGGGTTGAGGGTCGATGGCCAAAGATATTGCTTGATGTGAATTGGCTATTGTCGTTCAGGGTCGATGTAGAATTGCTTCAATATATTCACTCCATTTTCTCCTAGGGCGACCTCTGGCTTTCACATGAGATTGTTCAGGCATAGCGCCTGCATTTATAATTGTTAGGGCTGCGTTCTAAGGAGATGACCAAATCATTTGACGTTCTGGCTCTTAATTAATTTGATGCATGTTTGCACAGTCTGTCTGACAGTATCCTTTCTCACCTTATCTCGGATGGTTCAGTTGGCGGATTTCCTCGGGTATCTTATTTCACAAATGTTAATTTTACAGGAGGTTGGACTTGGACAAATCCCCAAAATCGTCTTGTCCCTGTCCGAGAACATCCGGTAAAGTGCAGCAGGGAAAGATCGAGACCTGGAAGTCATGACCCAGGGCGGCTCACCTTTCGAGATTGTGTATTGTGTAATAGGCCGAGACAACCGTCGACGAGGGATCTTTCTACTGGTGATCGGTGAACCCCTGCTGTACGTGCTCCCCTGTGGAGTTCTTATTACTGACAATGTAGTAGAAGGTAGGTAAATAAATGAAAGTCACTTTGTGCGTCAGGGCGCATCTGCTGTGTGACACTAGACTTACAAAAATTGAGGAGTTGTGGTTACTTAGTAAGAAATGGTTTGTCGATATCAATCATTCTAGGATATGACTAGAATATATTGTTCCCCTCCCCCCAATACGAAATTTGATATGTTTTCTGTCAGTTACTTTTTGGTTATGTATTATTGTACAGGCTCACTAGAATTTTTAATATAGCTTGGGAATTTTAAAAAAAAAGTCCCAGCTGAGTGGCAACAGGCACTAATAGTACCGTTATGGAAAAAAGAAAGGTAAAAGGAGATAATGTGAAGCATACAGAAGTAGACCACTACTGAATCACGTAGGAAAAATGTACGCCCAATTGCTAGAACAGAGAGTTTGACCCATAGCTGATCAACAGCTGAGTGCATCCCAATTCGGTTTCAGAAAAGGCAGAGGATGCACAGATGCATTATTCACTCTGAGGCTAGTTTGTGAGAAAGCCATTGAGTATAATACCAAACAGAATATTGTGTTTGTAGATCAGGAAAAAGCATTTGAAAGAGTGGAAAGAAACAAACTGTGGTCTATTCTTGAGAACTACGGGGTACAAGGACAGTTATTAGAGAACATCAAAGCCATGTACCACACAAGCCAAAGTGAATCAAGTTAGGAAATTTAAATATCTAGGAAGTATGATCACAGAAGATGGTAGAACTAACAGAGAAATAGAAACCAGATGTCAGAAAGCAAGTGCACTTATTTACCAATTGTCACCATTATTAAGACATCCAAGCATAACTATGAGTGCAAAGAGACAGATTATTAATAGCATGTTCATTCCAACATTAAGCTACCAGTGCCAAACGTGGACACTACCTAAAGCCCATATACGCAAAATCACCACCTGCGAGATGAGGTGTCTGAGAAAAGCAGCCAACCTAACCATCCGAGATCGAATAAATATTGAAACTATCAGGCAAATTGTGGAAACGACATCTTGTACTAGATTCATCGAGAAAAAGCAGATCTAGTGGTTTAGCCATCTCGTTAGAATGCATCAAGATCAAATACCATCACAAGCACTACATCTCAGAAGATCAGCTACAAGAGCAAGAGGACGGCCCCGGAAATATGGATCGACAACATTAAAGACACTCTTCGCCTTTACGGCATGACAATAGCCAGTGGCAGCCAACGTGCACTGGATTAATTATTCCTCCCCACGCCACTTAACGGCGAAATTGGTTTATGATGATGATGATGATGATGATGATGATGATGATGGTGATTATTGTATATACTGTGTTAGCTACTCCATGAACATGACAGACCATCTTAACGGCTAGACTCTGCTCTGGGTCGGTCGGCATTAAAAGGTCGAACCTTACCTCTCTCACCTGCATCTACACACCTGGCATTCCGGAGCAAGAGGCAAGGAACGAGCCGACCCACTGACGAGTAATGCACCATTGTCTGTTGGCTGAAGTATGGACAGAGCTGATACCATCAACGCTGTACGTACGGACTCGATTGGCGGTGGGCGAGTCTTAGACACCGACCAGTTTACGTGACCTGGGAGTAAAGCCTGGTGAAGCACGGCCATGTAATCTCCGAGGACAAGATACAAGACATTATAATCAACTTCTTATGAGAGCAATCAGCAGTAGAACCTTGGAATGGCTAGTTAGTTAATCGACAGATTATCCTCACTGCACCTGGGTCACGTACACAAGCTCTCGGATCCCATTTTCATTATATTCACCAGCGTGTGGCCACTGATAACACTAGTTCTGTGATGGTTCACTATTCTTCTGTGGCTACCTGTATAGTGTTCATGTTTGGCGACACCTCTTATGACCTGAAGTTCTTGTAGACTTTTGAGTGTTGCCGATTCAACTTCGTTTCCTGAATCATCTTCTCGTCCTGCTTCCTTGAGAGCATTGAGAATGTTGGCCGGTCCATTGATTTTCCCTGTACCTACAGTGGTCCTGCAAGCAAGCCAATCTGCTCGTTCAATCCCTCTTACACTAAAGTATCCTGACACAGAAATGAAACTAATTCTATCAGACTAGATTTTCTGAGCGACTCCAACCTTGAATCCATCCTATTTCTGTCTTTTTAAGCATGTTTGTGTAATCACTTAGAAAGCACTCATTGGGTAGCTGCGAATCGCTGAGTGCGCATGGGGATTTCTAGTGGGAAATGAAGTCCTTTGTGTAACATAAAGAGCATAACCTTAATTATTAATGTAAACAATTGTTTCAGTATAGATTGTTGAATATATCATACGTGTTCATTTTGAAAAACTTCAATAATCATATTGTGTAATTTGTTGTGGGGAATTTTTTTAAGTTGCCTACAATATTATTATTTTGTTTTGCGATATCTTACTCTTTAGTTTCTTCGTTCATTCGGATGAAATAATTTGGTGTCTCATATAAATTTCACAGTCATTTTTTAGTTCATTCCGTGGAGTTCCTTGACTGACTGACTTGCTACCCCACTAGGACATCACACAAGCGATAAACACCCAATGACACAAAGTGTCACCATGTGGGTGAGGATCACCGTGGAGAGGTCCCAGAAACCGCGTTCAGCCATTAGGTCACATTTATGGCCAGGCTATATTGCGGCCCCTGGAAAGAGCCAGAGTAGGGCTTAAAAAAAACGAAAAATGTCGTCCTAAAAAGGACGGAAAGTTTATATTGTGGAGTTCCTTTGTACTGTTATTCTTTTTCTAAATGTTGTCCTAAAGTGTATTATGTTATCGACGTTCTACATGTGTACATGTCTAACACTCAGCTCAAATTGTATGGCTGCTTAATCGTTTGTGCCCTGTTCTGAGGCGTATAAACATGACTAGTTCTCATCTGCCTAGGGAGGCTATGTGCTCTTGAGGCATGGTGTCCGCCTCGAACGCTAGAGGTTCCGGGTTCAATCCCCTGTAAGGGCTGGGTACGTTTTTTACGTGGACGTAATTTCTAGTAATTTCACCTGGTCTCTGCGTAGTGAGATCGGACACCTGTGTGCATTGTTGTGCGCGTAAACAATCTCTTGGCAGTTGGAAATCGAAAAGAGTAGCCTAACGGCGCTGCCAGGGAAAAAAATTTGGAGTTCAAAATGTACCCAAAGTATTTCAGGATTCTCGCCGCTGCTACAGAGCCTGTTCACTGCATTTAGAGTCATCAGACTCAGACTTAAGTTAGAAGAAGAACGGAACACTTATGGGCTACTACTATTTTGCCATAATGTTGATCCGTTGTTCAAAACCTCAAACCCTCTGATTGATTTATTCATCCTTTTCTGTTGGTTCTATGTAAGTGATGCATCCTGTAGCTTCTTTGTCGCATCTTCCTTGGCCAGTCAGTCAGCTCTCTCATTTTGGAGAACTCCGCGTGGAGATAGTCTCCTTTGTGTTGTGTCTCTAGGCTGACAGCCGGGTTAAGTCAGCAATGTTCGTAATGCCGGTAGTTTTCCAGACT